AGAGAGAGAGAGAGAGAGAGAGAGAGAGAGAGAGAGAGAGAGAGAGAGAGAGAGAGAGAGAGAGAGAGAGAGAAGAGAGAGAGAGAGAGAGCGACGACCACCTGGATGCAAATTCAAAGAATCAAACCATAACGAGTTCCCGTCTCCGGCCAACAGCTTTCATGCAGTGATTCCAGTCCTACAGTCAACTCTAGTTCTTGTCTGAGTTATACAATCCAGGCTTCTGATATGTAGCATGCCTTGCCAGGCAGCTCAGTCAAGTGAGCCTCTAAGATTTTGGAGTCTTAAAAAGAACGCAAACCATTAACAGAGATCAGAAGATTAACACTGCCGGGAGGACCCACTCCTGCACAAAACGCAACAAAGTAAAGTAAGGAACAAATTGACATATCTCAAAGTTTGGACAAGGCAGAAATATTCAATCGCCCCTATCTATCCCCCCCCCAGATAACTGGGAGTGGAATCAACAATCTACTCCAGAAAGATTTGATTGGACATACACCAGCACTTCTGACAGCAAAGTCTGAGGCACCATCACCAGGGATTCAACCCACCGCCCGTGAATTGTGTGCCAGTACAGTCCTGAAGGTACTAGTGTTGCTTTCTTCTAATACCTTTTTCGGCCATTTGGCTTTGTTTAAAAGTATTCCTAGTGTTTAGTGCACTGGAACAATTCTCTTCTGAAGTTCTAACGGCACAACAATCACTGCAAGTCAGCCACATGATGGGTCAGCCAAAAGATTTGCAGGGCACAGTAAAGGGCGAGCCGAAAGAATGGGGGAAAAGAAACACAGCCCACGAAAAAGCCAAAAGAAAGAAAGGCAAGAAAGAACAGCGCAGAAAAACGCACAAGAATGATTTCAGTGTGCCACATGCTGTCTGCGCTGTCTTCTGTTCCTGTTTTGTGAAGTGTGCTGCTTAGTTCGATAGATATGTGACAGATTGCCAATACACTCATTCTATCTGCCTGCCACTTACTAGCTTAGGGAAATGCCACAGGCAGTGTTTCCTTTCACATGTCGACACATTTACACGTCAAAACTACGATATGTGCCACACTCAGATTGTTAAACATGTGAGCAAGCATACCGTCCAACCATGGCAAGACGGAGGTGGATTCGTAATTCACCATCAAGTTGAGGTCAGGCCACAAACCTCCAGGTGATCCAGCCGTGTTGGCTAACGCCACCCATGGGCTGTTGCTGACCACTGAGATGCAGATGATTTCCTCCAGGCACATGATTCTGCGGCAAATGACGAGTGTCAGCCCACATAACCTCCCCCTTTCCGGCCCTTTGCTGGCCACCTTCTGCTCGCATGAAAATGCCTGATCGCAGATCATCGGTAGGCATCACTGGCCCAGCACAGGCCATCCTCATCGAAGCTGTCTTTCCCCAGGAGCTGCCCAGGGCAAGAAGCACGTTTGTGATCAACTGAGCAGTTAGCGGACAGACTTGGATGCCCAGATGCCCTACATCCAGGTGGATGGTGATTGGCACAGGGTTACCGGAGACTGTGCCTCCGACATGAAGATCAGCATGGTCAATCACCAAAGCTGGGATGCTCAGGCCAGGACCCATAACTGAAGCAGAAGTGCCAATAACAGAGAACTCAAAGTTCTGAACCTTGAGAGCTGAGCCTGGCACAATTGTTGGAATCAGTTGGTTTTCCTCTGAGACCTTTCCATCGTTGACGTTCGCACAATCTCGGTCACTCTGGCATGCCCCAATCACCGTAGCAGGCTCGGGAAAAGCCATTGTCCCAGCTCCTCCTTTCACCTGGGTATCACCTGGCACCGACTCGGCCAAAGCATGCACACCTGCCCATCGCCGCACGTCAGACGCCAAAGTGTTGTGCAGTATCCCAACACAATGTTCAACGGTGAGAAACAATCCAACAACATCTGCATCCCCACGTCTGTTTCCGCCTCTTCGACAGCCTAAGCCCTCCAAAGACGAGACAGTACAAATGCGGCATGGACCACAGATTACACGCGCATTCACCGACACTGGGAAGGTGTCAACACCACAGAGTGGACAGCCACACCGTCGCCGTTCCCATACCACAGTGATTAACTGCAACAACCAGCATGCACAGGAAGAATGGATAGACAAGATGAATACAAGGAGAAAAGAGGAGGGTAGGGAGGATAGACATGGGAATGTAGAGAGACAAAAGGTGGGGACAAAAGATGAGGACAAAAGATGGGAATTAGCAGAGGTAGATATATTACCAGTCAAAGACCATTCACAGGCATATGCAAAGATTCTTAAGAGGGAGGGGAGCTGCAACAGGAGGCGGACCTCCGGGACAAAGCTGTATACATCATCATTGATAACTGCCCGGTGAACCCTAGGCAGAGAGGGAGAAGCGGGCAACAGACGACCGGCTGTGTCAGACTGTTTCGTCGGAGTTTCACGGCCTCATAAGGAGGTTGTATAAACCTGAAAAAAAACTGCTACATTACATTTGTCCAAAAATCTTGAAATAATGCTGAGGGTTTTAGGCCGTTTTTTCCTTTTTGGCTTTTAGTTTTGCTGTGGGTTTGCATCATGTCGACTGTATGGCTCGGTGGCATCCAGAGACGCACTTCATATGTGCACGAAGGCCGACTTTCAGAACCATTCATCAAAAACGTTTTTGGATCATTGTGGCACAGATGGTTTACTTTTGGTTTGGATTAGACCTCAACCTATGGAAGCACCCCATGCTTACTTCATATGTGGTAATTTCATCACTTCCTTTTCTCCACACTTGGTAGTTAGTAGTTACGCCCTTTCTCGGTGAACTTCGTGTACACATTTCACTTTAAATCAAGTTTCATGTATGACAAACACAAGGAGGGTGGCGCTCACGTTTGCTTCATACGTGGTAATTACATCAGTTCCTTTTCTACACACTTGGTAGTTACGCCCTTTCTCGGTGAACTTCGTGTACACATTTCATTTTAACTCAAGTGCCATGTATGGCAAACACGAGGAGCGAGACGCTTAGGGAAATTTGCACTCGTGTTTCAAAGCTTCAGCGGCCCACAGCGGTAAAAAAAATACAGCAGCGTATAAGAAAATAAAACTATTTTGCAAAACAATATAACAAGTTAATAAAGTAAAAAGTACCAAAACCATAAAAACCCACAAAACCTATGGAAAAACATTGATAGTAATTGGGTCTCTTAACCATTCGTCCGTAATGGCACACCTAGACTTTCAATCTTTATAAAGGCAGACCCACTCTGAATGTGCGTTAGTGGCACGTTTGTATTCAAAGCTTCAGGAATGTGTTGCACGAGCCATTAGAAATGCTGCAAATAAATGGGTTTGCTGACCGATTGTCAACTATGTCTCGAAGGGGAGGTTTAAAAGCTCTTTTAAATTCTTTTTCGGATATTTGTAGTTCAAACCATACTTTACTGCCACTGGGAAATTTTGAGAAAGGATTCCTGTGCACTGTACTGTCTGGGCCATCCAGGTGGTCGTTTGGGTCCAAACATCTGGGCCCAGACGTCTGCTCACTGGGGGGTAGACGTGTACTCAGGGCCTGCCAGAAGTCGGCCCTGCTCATCTAGGCCTACAGATATTTTGCCGCTCCTCAAAGGGGAAGGAGAACGGCCAATGAGGGTTTCCAGGTTCTAGAGCAGATAGAACGGGGCTTTAGGAAAGCGCAAGTAATACACGCATGAGGGTTAAGACTGACGCTTCAAGGATGATCTGGGTAAGATATCTTGGCGGAATGATTTGGAACATGAACCCACACGAGCAAAGTAGATTGAGAAGACCTTGAAACATTCTTGCAGGACCCAGGTCGTCCACGAGGGAAGCTCTTCACCCTTCTCCATACTTATTCGTTCAACAATTTCAACTCCATGCTTTTGCTTGCTTTGCACTCGATGGGAAAAGTATGGCTATGATCTGTACCGCCAGATTCTCATACAGACACTTCAGGTCAGTAGTCCAGACTGGAGCATCCGGATCAGGCCTAGAAAACAGAACCTTTTGGTTCTGGCTCCTACCATGCTGGGGAGCAACAGTCCGGTTCCTATTCCCCCGGCAAGTCAATATGGAAAACATGGGAGACTCACGCACGCTCCTCCCCATTATGGCTGGGAGGTCCGAGTGGACGGCATTGATTACTTCCCTGAGGAAGGATGTACCACCCCTCACCCCTGCTTAAGTTAGCATGTGCTATTTGATCTGCCTGGCTGTTGCCAATCTGTCTCAACGCAGTCCCGCTCCTCTCAGCTGTGATGCTGTCGGGTTGGTGTGTTATGCTAGAGCGGTCTGGAACGCCAACGAGCCTCTTGAAATCTCTAACATCTTAAGCCCTGTATGCCTTGTTTCTGTCTAAACCTTAAACCCTAAATCCTCAAGCTAGAACCCTGACCCCTCGTTGACTGTGGTGTGTTTTTATGGTCTGTCCCTGTCAGAATTTTCCGTGTTGAAGCTGTTGAATATGCCTATAGTTTCTATGTGGGGTAGTTTTTTTTTTTTTTTTTTNCTGAGGGGGTCTGTGCGGTGGTGAAAGTTTTGTGATTCTGGGTTGATGGGCTTGGGGTTATGGGCAAAGGACGGGGGAGCGAGGATAAATGTGGTAAGGGAGGGACTGTGTTACAGTTGAGGGGAACGGATTTTGTTGGAGTTGAGAATTTCTGAGGTGTGTAGGTGTACAATGTGGGGGATCTCAGGTGATGTCCTCTTCTGTTGTGATCAGTATGTGTGTGGGTGGGTTGGCTTGGGGGGTGTGATGAGGTGTAGGCTGCACGTTGTTAGGGTTTTGTCCTTGGCTGGTTGATGAGGGCCAGATTAACCAATTAGAGAATTTTATTCTGTCTCGTTCGATTGAGCCTAATTTGCCGCTGCCTAGCTTGCCGATTGATAATTTTTTGATACTTTCTTTTTTGTCCGGAAGGATCTGGGTCTGCTTTAGGTTTTTTTTTTCCATAGAGGATTTCTGTTTCAATTGTCTGTTTCATGGTAATTAGGGGAGTCTCTGAGGGGGCGTGGTGTTCGTTAAAGGTTAGGTGGCAACGCCTTTTCCATATGGCCCATAGGGTGCCTTTTCTGATTAGCGAGAAGAGGAAGTAGTCGAAACCTTTTAGAGTTGAGGATTGATCTGTGTGAAGGAGTATGGTAGAGGGGTTGATTAGTACGTTTCTATTGGATAGAGAATTCCATGAGAGTTCTATGTCTAGCCGCAACTGTTTTGCGTGTTCACAATCTAAGAAACAATGATTGAGAGATTCCTCGGATTGTGTGTTACATACCTTGCACCAGGTTGACTGGTCTGTTCTGCTTTCCTTACTTCTCCTCTGGGCAAGCCATTGATTTACTGGGAGTGCTCTGAATGCCATGAGCCAGAGGTGGCTGGCCAGTTTGGACGGTCGAGTGCCGAAGATTGTGGGCCAGTGAGGGTGTACATATGCACCTTCGAGAGCGCTCTCATGCTTATCCCATCTTCTTTTTATTATTGTTGAAATTGGCTGAGGTTTGTTGAATAATTTATATCCAAGTCTGGGTGTGTAGTCTGTTAAAGCATATCGCCTAGCTGTAGGCGCAAGTATGCTGGGGGTGTTCCATGACCATTCTGTAGGGTCTATTTCTAATTGTTGTATTGCTGTATCCGGTTTGTATGCTCTATTTCTTTCCGCTTCTATGATTCAGACCCTTCTGATTCTGTCTATTCTGAAAGCGCCTTCTGCTCTAGGGTCTTGGGAAATAAGACTTGCAGGGTTGTCTGGCTCTTCTAGCGAAAAAAATGGAGCAGAGGATCCATTTATTGTGGTGAAGTTCTGGTTCTAAAATTTGAAGTACCTCCTGAGGCTGCCCTTGATCTTTGGTTGCAGCCCAATCTCCCCAGAGCCATTGCTGCTTACTTTTCAGTAGCTTTCTCCATTCTATGGGGATGGCGTCTATGATGTGAGATGAGTTAGAAAAAAGGTTATGGGTTCCTTTCGAGTTTCGTTCTTAGTTCCCCTTCTGTACACCATCTGTTGTAATCATCATTCCACAGGTGCTGGATTTGCCATACCCCTTTTTCTAGCCATAGGCCCCATTTGGAGTTTGTCTCGTTGAGTGGGAGGGATTCCCCACGTTCGTCCAGAATCCATTGGTTGCCGAATAGGGGTTGTCTTAGTACTTCGTCCCTCCTTTTTGGGCCGACCTTGCTATCAGCGAAAAATTTTCTCTACGTTTGTATTAGTTGTTCCCATAAGGTTTTAGGGTAGTCATTGGCCTGCTCTTCTTCTTGGAATTGTTCATCTCTTGTGGCTTTCGTGGTTCTCGGGAGGGTCCACTGATTATTGAAGATCCAAAAGAGTCCTGACATGTTTGGGGGGGATTTGAAAGGTGCCAGCTCTCGTAAGTGGTATAGTGCAAGTTGTATCCAGGGTAGATTGCCTTGAAGGGTGGGTCTGATGATCCATTTGATATGTAGGGCATGAATCTGGCTAGCTGGATCTATGAGACCTAATCCTCCTTTGTTTTGGGGCGGCGTGACTATTTGCCAGGCTACTTTGTGGATAAAGTCTTGACTGTCTGGGTTACAGGTCCAAAGGAAAGCAGCTGCTCTTTTACATATTAGTTTTTGAAAGTCCGGGGAAGGGTACCATATGGTGGTTACGTACCACATCATTGAGTTGTTGAGAGCTAGTGTTCAACCTAGGAGTGAGGTATGTATGCCTTGCCAACAGTTCATTCTGTTTATCATTGAGGACATAAGGAAGGCAGCCGAGGATGGATGGCAGCCTTTAATGCTAAGGTTTATACCCAGGAAATGCATGGGGGAAGAGGGATCCGCCCATTGCATTCCTTCTGGCAAGGTTTCTAGAGGGGGCAGGGTGTTTGATAGCCACCAACCTATTGTTTTCCTCCAGTTAACTTTCATTCCTGAAGCTAGTTGCCCTTATTAAAGCTTGAAAAGAAGAATCAGACGCTCTGATAAGAACTGTTAGGTCGTCTGCGAAGAGGAGGATCGTTGGTAGATGAAGTGGGTGCCCTTTTTCGTCTTTGATGGCCCTCTAAACGTTCTATGGATTCATCATTTCCGAGGAATGATGCAATGGCTTCCATAACAAAGAGGA